CCTGCTGCTGCTGCTGCTGCTGCTGCTGCTGCTGCTGCTGCTGCTGCGGCAGCGGCGCAGAGGCGGCCGCGGCGCTGCGCCCTTTACAACTCTAACTTCTTTCTTGCATGTTCTGCTTTTCCCAGCAGCAGCAGCAGCAGTCGCTTAGGCGCGAGTGTTCCGAGAAGTTGCTGTTTTCGAGTAGTTTAGTTCGCGCACGGCGCAGCTCGTTCATTTGCTGCTGGTCTTTCTTCAAATGAGTTGTTTAGTTCAAAGAATCATTGTTTGACGTGAAATAAATGAAAGACACGTAACAGCCTCGCTGGACACACATGGAAACGGGAAAGCAGCAAAGTCTGCAGCAGAAGAACCGGGGCTTCCGCATGCGCTGAACGGCGTGAAGGAAGCAGCAAAATTAAAAACGAAATTCACATACAAGACAAATATGAATAAATAAATGTAATTAAATACATACATAAAATAAAAGTAAATATATTTGAACCCTTTTTTGATGGCGCCAGTCTTTATTCCAGCGTTTTCGGTGCTTCCGAATCGCGGGCCCTTTTCACTAGTGGCGAAACTTGAACTTGAATATTCAACTACGTGGCCCGAGCCAAGCTGCTGCTGCTGCTGCTGCTGCTGCTGAGTCTAGTGGCGTTGCAATTTGAATTTAATTCGTTTTGCGATTTCTGTTTTGGGTGACAAAGCTGCATGCAAATGCTGCAGCAGTGGCAGAGCAGTTGGCTGGACGGAGGCTGCTGTGCAGGTCGGCGTGCAAGTAGTAACTGGCGTTCTAGGCTTTATTTTTGCGGATTTTTTGCGCAAGTTGGCGAATAAAAGTAAATGACAAATACAAACCAATAAAGTGGAAAGAAAAGCCTTCAGTTGGATGTGTTTGAGGCCGAAAGACTCGCGTTTCAGTTCAGATCCGCTGGCTGAGGCGCTTGGCAACGGTGCGCAGTTGGCTGTACACCTTGCCTTGCGGCTTTCCGAGGATCAACGAACAGATGGAATGCCTCGCCAGTTTTATGCATTCGAAAGATCCCAAAATGTGAATTTTTCTTCCTGCAATTACAATTCGAGTTCGCGTGGCGTTTTCTATGGCGAAGCGCGTGGAGCCGTTGCGCCCGGTCAGCCGCCCGATGCACCTGCGCGCCCGCGGAAACCTCGGGAAAGCTCGGCGAATTCGATTTCAATCGAATGAAATATTCTTTTTTCTGATTTAGTTCCACAAATGGACACAATTTGAACCATTTTAATCCACCAATGCGCGAAAAACACCCCACAACTGCCCCCAAACACTGCAGCAGCGCAGCAGCGCAGCAGCAGCAGCAGCAGCTGCTGCCCCCCCAAATTCAAATTCAGCCCGGGCCACCAACTGCACCCACTCAACTACAACACAAACAAACAACAAAACTAATTAATCAAAACAAATGAACAAATAAACGAATAAATAATTAAATAATTAAACGGTGAAGCTGACCTGGAGAAGTGCGCGCCGGTGAGTTTCTTGACGTCTTGGACTTCAAAAGACTCCAAGTACATGTCTTCCAGCCTCAAGAGAGCCACACAATCTCTTTGTTCAAATCCGAGGAGAAAAGCCCGGACATAATCTGCTGCCTTGGCGAGTCTGGAGTTGTCGTCTCCCCGCTGCAGCACGCCGCCCCCCGTGCCCCCCGCAGCAGCAGCAGCAGCAGCAGCAGCAGGAAGCGG